AAATATTTTAATGAAATGTAGAAGTGCTTCTGGTAAGTGGGATTAAAAGCAGGGTACGTGATTGGATATACAGCAGGACCTCAGTTTTGTAAATAGTTTATATTTATCCACAGAAAAAAACACAGGAAGGAAACACACCACCACATATTTCTTAAGGTGGAGAGATTAGAGGTTACTCTTTACTTTCTTCTTTAAACTTTTTGGTATTCTCTAAAAGAAAAAACATAATATAGGTAACTATTACTTTAGTAATCCAACAAGAAAGGATACTTTCTTATTAGCTGGGACTTCTGAGATAGTGGAGACTGATTTTATGCATCACCTTGAAGGATACCAACATCAGGTTTCTACTTCTTCTCAAAGTGATTTCTGTGTGGAATGCTCTTCACAGCTGAATTTTCTATACAAGATACAGATTTTGGCTTTGACAAGACAGCTCAGTTTGTAATCACACTTCTCTTTTTTTCTTAAGTGAAACTGATGACATTTGGAAACAGCTCTGTAAGAGTCCTGAATCAAGGTACTACATTTCTTTCTCCTTGTTACCAGGGCTGAGAGCTCCCAAAGGAATTTTCAGAGGTTTGGGAGCCCACCTGAGATTGGGCTCAAGGGAGACAGAAGCCCAGAGGATGTCGACTTTGTGCATCGAGGTGTAATGATAAGAACATTGCCTTTGGAGATGAATGGCTCTGGAGCCTTGGATTTTTCTCTGCAAAACTGATGATCATATTTCTTTTATATAAATTATAATGATTAAATAAGAATGTATGGAGGGTACCTAAAAGAGCACACAATCAATTATCAATATTAATAGGTGATGGGCATTGGAGAAGGCAGCGGAGGGGAAAATCTGCTATTGCTACTCTCCATTCTCTCACCACTGAAGTTTTCCAAAGTGTGTGGGTGGTGGGAATGGAAGTGGAGGGGCTGTCCAGATCTCAGGCTGCCCTGACTGGGCTGGCCTGACCAAGGACACATCTCAGTTTCACGTGGAAATGTAACCACTTCTAGGGTGGAAGGCAGGCAGCCCTAGCTACTGGCAGGCAGCCAAAAGTGTGGGGTGAGGGGCAGCCCTAGAATGCTCATGGATAATACTGAATATAAGACTCCATTACTATTCTGAAATCACTGCATTAGCCATCCAGAGCGCCTCTTCCTCCACCCATGGCTGCTGTGCCTTTCAACCATCCATCGGGCAGCAGCCAGTAATGCCAGAGGGAAACAAAGGGAATCAAGCCATGTCTTGTAATGGACTGAAATATTCCATCTTTGCTGTACTACTACTTTATCTGCTGCCGTTATTCCTTGGACTGCGGTCAGCACCACCACTTCTACAACTGCTGCCACTACTACTACTATTACTATTAATCCTTTAAATTTGTAAACTACTTTACAATTTACAAAGTGCCTCCCTGGCTTGGGTTCCATTGATTAAAGATGATACTGAACATGCCATGATAGGAAGGCAGAGGTAGGCTGGCACTAGAAACCTCAAAGGGAACAGAACAGATCTGCACTTAGGAACAGAGGAGAATTATCAGTATTTATTTTCATCCCCCACCTGCCTGGGCCCCAGACAAGTACACGATTCCCAGCCACACCCATTCATACTCCCAATCCTATCCTGCTCTAACAGTCCATAGCTAGGTTTAGGCAACTTCCAGGGTTAGGAACTAGGAGAAATGGCCTTTAATTTGGTCAGAGAAGATCGACCAGATCCAAATCCCACCGAATGGGGTGGGAGAGGTGGAGACAATGCTTTTCAAATATAAGGCCATTGCCTCTGCCATTATCTCTCACCTTCTCACAAGAAGGCCCTTGGAAAGACCCACACTCTTTCTTTTTTAAGAGACTTTAATTTTTCCTGTGCTTAAGTTCAATTTTTTAAAAAATGCCTGACTTTGACCCTCATGCCCAGAGTGAACTCCGGAATGTACACCTTGTTAGCCCAACAGAAGGGCCCCTTTCCCCTCACCCCTGGCAGCCCCGCTACAGGAGTGAGAATGGGGCACGGAGGACAGCAAGAATGCAGCACGGCTCAAGCTCGACCGCGAGCCGGGTTCCCTTTGAGATTGCCGCCTTCACCTGGCAACCGGGAACCCCAGCAGAGCTCAGAGAGAAGAAAGTGGCATTTTGGAATCCATTTTGCTCAAGATGCTGAAGGCATCGTGGCACACTCCCCGTTGTTACTGGGGCCAAAGAACTTGGGGAAGGACCTTACCCACAGGGATGCGGTTAGTTGGGGGGATGGCCAACTCCGGTGCCAGTGATACCTAAGGGGAGCAGACAGGTGCGTGGGCCGCCCTTAGGACCCACCCGCAGGAAAATGCCAAGCTAGCTGTGGGTGCGGGGCCCCCTCCAGGCGCTGCTTCGGCATTTTGGACCTAGGTCCGCTGGTGAGCAGTAGCAGCAGCAGTCGACGCCAGGCCAGCTGGGTCCCCTTCTCTGTCCTGTCATTTATAGGTGAGATTTACGATGTAGGCAAGGGGAGGGACGCGAGATGACTACGGCCTTTGGAAGGCAAAATCCTGAAAGTCACACTTTCCCCGAAGCGCCTCCCTCCCGGGTTCTCCTCCCCAGAGCAGCAGGTCACAGCAGGGGAGTCTGCGCCGCAGGGGTCCGCGCGACGCGGAGGGCCGGGGAAAGGGGCCCCCTGCCGGGCGGGAGGCGGGGAGGAGGCGCCGGGCGCGGCGCGGCTCACCTGCTAGGCTGTTGTAGCAGTCGATCTCGATGGCTTCCACCGTCTTGCTCTGCTCCTCCGAGAGGCGACTGGGCTTGGGGGCCCCGCCCGGGGAGGCGGCGCGCGAGTCCCGCTCCCGTTCCCCGGGGGGTGGCAGCAGCCCCTTCAGCTCCAGCAAAGCCCGGTGGTATTTGCCGATGGCTTCGCGGAATTTCTTGTCCTTGTAGCACTGCGCCCCTTGGCTCTTGAACTCGTGCGCGCGCCGTATGAGCTCGGCGGGCTCGGCCGCCGCCCCAGCCTGGCCCCGCGCCGGGGCCCCTCCGCCGCTG